GAAGCAGATGGAGAAATCAAAGGGCGCATCACACACAAATAAGCTCTCAGGCTCAACTAGCTTTCCAATGCAATATTAAAATCAATATTATATGATGTAAACTGAAAAAGGAAACCTCTCTTTCTGGAATGAACCTCACTTCAGTAACTACTATCTCCGATTTGTTATTTTAGCACATTTAAACAATCAGACATTGTGCTATTTCAGAAGCTGGAGACAGTTAACATTAATAGTGCAACAGGAAGCCTACATTGCAGGTTTGCAAGCCCTTCCTCCCATTATTTAGCATGCATGAAGAGATGTACATGTCTCAAGACAGGGCTGGGTCAGGAATGTGATGTCAGATTTTTTTTTTTTTTTTTGGTTGAGCAGTATATGTGGTGAGTCTAACCAGCAGGACGCCATGTGTTTTTCTGTATGAAAGAAGGTAGAATAGACTTGAAACAGTAGGAAAATGTAACGCAAATACTAGCTAATTAAATTGCATATTTCTTTATAACAGCTACAAGTCTGACATGAAAAAGACTGGGCAATATGATCCTTTTTATATTTAATGGTCTTTTGGGAAATGGAATGTAGAGGACACAGAAAAGTAGAAGTACTTTCTGTGTTTGTAAACACACATAAAAAATTACAAAGAGGCATTTAGATAAACTTAGGTTTAAAGAGTGTAAACCCAAACACCTGCATCTCATTAGAGTGTATGATACTCATACAGGATTGGAGTGCTCAGGATTTCACTCTTATATTCAAAGCTCTGAATCAGTAACATAATTGAAATAAATAACAATATGGCCCATTTAAAAAAAATCTTTTTGTTTTAAATTCAAACAATGGATAAACTCCAAAGAAGTATTTTTGTTATTTCAATGGTAGATTTTAATTTTACGCATATACACAATTAAAGAAAAAAATAAGGAAATATTAAGTTTTTTTTTTAGTTTTTTTATTCGTTTATATGATAGGGACAAGTATGTTTCATGAATCATGTCACACACTACAAAATTTTAGCTAAGGCTAATTCTCAATGCCTGTCCCCAGTTAGGCTTTTACACAAAACACAGTGACTGTACACAAGAAACAACAGAACAAATTACACACTAAAACATCACAGAAATAAGATCAGGTCAGTTAGATTATTAATGTTCACATGACTGACCTCTCAATAAAAAGTCTTTAAGTTTATGTTTAAAAAGGACCCAGTTTGACTCTCCCTTCAGTTCTGCAGGTAATGTTTTCCATGTTTTGGTGCCTTGTACTGTACAATGAAAGCTGATTGACCGAAAGAGGTTTTGCATCTGGGTACTTGACAGTTTCCACTGTGAGCTCCTCTTGTGACTGAGCCCACAGCTCAAGTCAGAACCAATTTTTTTGGCCACTTTGGTGCGCTTAAAATAGTAATTTTATAAATTTTTCATTAGCTTACATAATAATCAAACAAAAGGGATAAAAAGAGAAGATAAAACAAAGATATTAGACGTTTCTACAAGTGGTCATGCCATTCAGAATAACATCAAGATGTCTATACCAGCCAAGGGCAGCCCAGAAATGAAGAACAAAGAAGGAGTGCTACACCACTGACAAATACAGAGGGTGTGTATGAATACTGGGTCTGCATCCTTAAAGGGTTCTGATGGAAAGCAAATACCAAACAGGCCTGTAGTGAGTGGCTGTGAATTTAGACAGTCTAGCCTAACCTAGCTGTCCCCACCCTAAACTCAAACAATCAGGTTGATGACAACAAGGTCAAATTTTCTTTCTGCAGGAATGAGGATGAATTTAACGCTATAGCCTTGTCATGATCTTGGCACTGATGACTGGGTTAATTACTCATTTCATTCCCGTCCAATTCTGCCCAGTTGCTCATTAGCTCTCATCTGATCCACCGGCTACTGCCTCTCTTTTTCTCTCTAGCCAGTGGTGCAAGTGTTTTTAGCATTTCCGTAGTGTTTCTGTTTACCTGATTCTGACATGGCTCTCAACCATTGAGCTTGCCTGTTCCTGTTTTGTTTGCTTGACCGTGCTTCAGACTACTAGACCTCTGACCCTCGTTGTTCCTGTTCTAGGGTTGTCACTAGGGATGCATGATATTGGGATTTTGGCCGATATCCGATATGCCGATATTTTAAAACTCATGTAGCCGATAACCGATATCGATACCGATGTTAAAGCTGGTGATATTTTGCAAATTCTTGTGAGATTTTGTTAGTAAAATAGA